CTGCTCGCTGGTGGGGTGGGGTGAGGAGCAGAAAAGGCCTTGACTGTGTGTCAGCGCTGCTCAGCAGTAATGAAAACATCCCGTAATCATCAACACTGTTTCCAGCACAAATCCAAAACATGGCCCCATCCTAGCTACTGTGAAGAAAATTAACTCTATCCCAGCCAAAACCAGCACACACGCTTTAAAAAAAGGAAGGTCCCTATCTGTCACTAATGTGTCATTAAAAATCAAAGGGTCTGAGACGTCTGCTTCATTTTGTACCATTGATGCAATTTTATGATCTGGGCTTTTTTTTGCCGTGACTTGGTGATGACAACAGCGTCATGTGTGGTGGGCACCTTTCCTCACTGCTTGGCACGGTGCTGGAGCACGGGCTGTGGACACCAACCAAGGAGCAGGCTTCTGCTTTGGACTCACTCATATAAAACATGGAGTTTGGAGCCCAACCCTGCCTTCCTCACCCCCATCCCCTTCAATTTTGCCCAAGTATCCTTTTTCTTAACTGAGATGCCAGAGGGGTGAATGCAACAGAAGAACCTTGGCTGGATGGACGGGATCGCATGGGGGTCCCTAGGTTTGAAGAGATGGGAAAAATCCCAAAGCAAGCCACTGTGTTTGTAGAAATCAATCCCGAGATCTTGCTGAATGCCTCTGCCAGGCACAGTGGTGGGGACATCGCTATTGTCTATGCTGGCCAAGAGAAGATGCCACCAGCAGCCTGCAGCAGTGTGACACAAGGACATACCTGGCTTGTCTGCACAGTCTGGCTTTTATGTAGACTCCAGTGAGCCCTAAAATGCTGGACACCAACTGGGCGTGCTTTCGTGGGGGTCAGCAAAGGGCAAATTTCATCCGCTTCCCTACAGCTCCTCTTCCTCACACTAGTTTTAGTGACCATGCGCGCCCACCGAGGACTAGGTGGGAGAGAAAACCGATGCCGTGGCTTTGCAATAGGGAACTTCTGACCTCACGGCTATACAGGGCAGAGGAGAAAATTTGGTTTTGCATGCGGTGAACACATCCTCTGTGGACCAAAGAGCGGTGTCCTCCATGGAAAGGCTGGGAGGTTGTTGGGGAGCTGCGGCTCATCCCCTCGCCCAGCTGCCTAGGCGGATTTAAAAGCTGCATCTCTGCCTCCTCGTCTCTGCAAACTCCACGCTCTCCGAAGTGCCAATAACCCCCTGATTGCTTGTTCTGCAGAAAATTGTTCCCTTGATTTCTGCAAGTTTTTCTAAAAGCCTTGCTGTAATTACGCTGTGTATCTCCAGTGAAGGACAGCCTCCTTGTGAGAGCCAGCAAATGGCCGTGCTTGGGAGCACCGTGCGTGAGGAAAATGTCCACGCCGTGCTCCCGGCTGTGCCGGTGCCGGCTCCTGCCCGGGGAGGGTGCTGTGGCCGGGGAAGCCGGGGGACGGCTCAGCCCGCCCCAGAGAGCGGAGGAGGGAGAGGTGGGGAGCAGATGCTTGAGCAGGACACAGCCTCGAGGAAAAAAAATAGAAACGATTCAGAAAATGGCTGGTAACAGAAGTGAATAAATGTGGGGTTTTTTTGTTATAAACATTCCCTTTCTTAAAATACCAAGAGACTCATTAGACCATGTTCCAGACAAAACCGGCCCGCTGGTGGTTGGCAGCCAAAGCCCTTCTGGAGCGTATGTGAATAAAGTCTAAACTGAAGTAATCCGGGCTGCACCCCTGCCTGCTGTAGCTCCTCAGGAGCAGCAACGGAGTTTTCATCCTTAGGGCTGTCTCATCGGGTGATCGTGCAGAGACGTGGCTCGAGTCCTTGGTGCCGCTGGGATCTCCCCCAAAGGATGGGGCAGCTGCTTTTTGCCGTGCCCAGCCTGGGACATGGAGGACCAGGTGGCACATCTTGCTGGCAAGGGGTTTTATGGCTCCTGCTTCCTCTTGGCTTAGTTCTTGGAGGCTTCACCATGAAAAGCCACCTGAGACCAGCTCAGGTGTGACACCCAAGAAAGGGGATGAGTTTGTTCCCAGAAGCTTCATTTTAGATCTGATGGCACGGGGGAAGGAGGCTGCTTGGGATGTCCTGGCACCTCATTCTCCCTTCGGGTTGTCCATTCAAGAGGCTTAATCGTACCTGTTGACTCCCAGCCCTGCAAATGAACGTGTTTCACGTGGACCCAGCCCCAGCGATGAGGCTGTGGAGGTCGGTGGATGTCACGGGGGCTCCAGCTGCAGCACCAGCATCGTAGCTGGTAGCCCGCTAAAAAAACGTATCCTGTTTTGTTTTAAAGCCAGTGTGTCACTGCCTCGGCGCAGGGTAAATGGCAATGCCCATCCAGGGGAAGTTTGGGCTTTTTCTCCATCCTTCTCCATTCCAGGGAGAAGCTGGGAAGTAGGCTTTGGTCCCAAATTGATGTGCAAAGGTAAAATCAGTTTAACTCCTCAATAGTGAAATACTGTGTGCATTAGATCATCCACTCTCTTAGCTGGGAAATGGGTTCTGCAGTTGTGCCGGTATCTTCAGAGTGCGCGTCCTCAGGGTCTGGATTCTCCTCTGGCTTGGTGTTCACTTTCTTTTCATGCTGAATGCAGCCTTCCCTTGTCTTTCAGATAGCTGCCCAAGAGCTCTCGGACAACAGGGTGATTACTCTGAGCATGGCCGGCAGAAAACTGGATAAAAAGGTGAGTGGGGCTGTGTCTGGGGGATGCGATGTTAAACTTCTGTCCTTCGTAGGCTAAGGGATCTAAAGAAATCTCTGCTTTTGGGTACAGAAGTGACAGAAAATAGTCCTACTGGAGAAAGCATTAGGGTGAGACTGGAGGGGTTCAAGTCCTGGGGGTGCCACTGGCTGCTGGGTACACCTGTGCCTCAGTTTCCCTGTTGTCACGGTATTGCTTTCTTCATCACGCGTGTTGAGATGGAAAGATTACGTGTGGCACAGGATCTGTGCACTAGCATGTCTTAAAGACAGCAGATTTACTACTTCAGTGGCTGTCATTTGGAAATGTCTCCTGACGGAGCTGGCAGTTTTGATGCCCCTCAAACCCGTATCTCAGAAGTGCTGAGAGCTCCTGGCTTGTCGCCTTCAGCCCCTCTGGAAATGGAGTGAACATCTGCTTGTATATCAAACAGTAGGGCCCGTCTTTTCCGAGGAAGAAGTGTTGACCTCACGGAGGCAGGTAATGCATGAGTTCTGCTTTGGATATGATACGTAGGAAACCGTGAGCCTTTCTGAACGAAGCCATCTGACCTTATTTACCAGGCAACCAGAGCTATTCCTCTTAAACCAGTGCTGTTGCTAAGCGATCGATGGGAATATTATTTTTTCCTTCTTCCTAGTCTCTCCGGAGCTTGCGTTATTGGCAGGATGGCCCTCAGTTTTCAAATCAGGATAAAGCAAGCATCCAGGCAGAAGGGTATTTGCTGGGGCAGAAGACAGGGTTTGTCCAGTCCCGTTGTCCAGACCGGATGGATGCCTGGTTTATCCAAGTGTTTTTCCCACCTGTTGGGAACGGCTGTTTTCTCGCCCTCCTGCTTACCCTGCCTAGTGCAAGGAGCCAAATGCCCCTGTTAAGAAATCCCCAAATAACTCAATTTCATAAATGGGCTGGAAGATGTCCTTGAGCTGGTGGCTTCCTCTGAGACGTGGCCGAGGGTCAACCCCATGCATGTGAATGAAGACATCCCTAATGCAACAGTTTTCTTCCAGCACCCGAAGAAAAAGCCTCTGCTCCCTTGCAAAACAAGGGATGGGATTTCACAGCAGGCTTGGTGCCCTTCCTACGTGCGTCAGGGTCCCTTTGCAGCTGTGGCCATTGTGAAGAGCAGGGCCAAGTACCCGGGTCCTCCCCGCAGCGCTGGTACCTCAGGCATACGTCCACTTGTTGTATCGGCAGCTTCATTGGTGGCATCACTGGCTCCACGGGCAGGAGTTGCCTTTCTAATCTGGTTTGCAACCAAGTTCCTCTATGCAAAGGTGACATCTTTTGATATTCTTCAAGTAGGACATGATAGCTGTGGGTCTGCTGCCCTTCAGACCCACAGTCAAGGTACGGAAATTCAGCATCTACCTGGTTACACTGGGGTAAGGACTGTGAATAATCCTGTTCTTTCTGGGTCTCCCCTCCAGTTTATCAGTAGGTGTCAGCAGAAAGCTCCTTCCTCGGTGACCGCCTGCCGTCACCAAGAGCTAACGAGGTTTCTTTGCCAATTTCCATAACACAGTGCAGCATTGCAGTGCTCAAAGTCCTGCTCATGGGCAAAGGACGCTCATGTCACTTCATGCAAATTAAAATGGTCTCTGAACAAGGAAATTGGATGAAACACAATATTTTTGGGTCATTATTGGTCATGGATGAAATGCAACTGTGGGAGCCGGGTAAAACTCGTTTATGCTTAGGAAAGACAGTGGAGAAGTGGCTAAGCAAAAAACCACAGGGGTAAGGCTGCAGCCTGGGGGGGTAACACCCTCCTGCACCACGCAGCACAGAGCTGGGGAGCACGGCCGGAGGCTCAGACATCATGTGAAGGGATCAGATCTCACAGGATTTTGTGTTGGGTCCATGGAATCATCTTGCTGCACACGCTGAGCCGAAGCTGTGACCATCCCTTACCGGCAGCTATGCCGCAGTCGCAGCCTGGAGCCGTGCTCGGCCCTGGGCAGCTCATTCTGCCGTGACCACCCTGAGGCTGGGACCTCTCTCCGGCTGCGGGCAGGTCCTCCTCCCCATGACACGTCCATGGTTTCTCCACCTGCGGCTCACTACCTTGCTTTGAATGCTGAAGCTGCACAGCAGGAGCATGTCAGCAGCAGAACCAGCCTGAGGCTCTTGCACCTTATGTCAGATCAGCTCTTGGGAGAGTTGTTTTAAGAAAAAGTATCTTGCAGAAGAGGAGGTATTTTCACCAGGGACCAGCCCTGGTGAACTCAGCCCCAGAGCCACGTGTGCTCTGGGGCTGTGGGGACGGCTGTGGGGACGGCAGGAGGACAGCAATGCTTCGGCACGGCTGGGGGAGAGCAAGCGCTGCGAGCCAGGATTGGTGCTGGAAGCTGTGGTCTGGGGAGCTGCATCTGGTGGAAATGCCACCTCCGCCCTCCTTGTTCATGGTGTGCAAGGACCAGTTTGGATGATTTAGATTCTTGGACCAGTTTGCAGATCGATCTGGTCTGCTAAGCTCCTTTGGTTGCTCAGTTTCCATCTCCTGCCAGGCTTGCAGGGGTGAGATGTCTGTGGTTTTGATGTTTTAAAATAGCAGCCCACAATTCTGTGGCTTGGAGGCATTTCACACCCTGCTTTGAATGGAGCAAGGCTGACCGGACTTGCAAACCGGGCTGCTCTGCGTGGGATGGCAGCAGACATCCTTCAGAGCTCCCTGCTGTCATCTGAGCTGGTGCCTCCACCAACCCACGCTGGGTTGGCGCTGATGAAACCGCGTTGGGTTGCAGGTTAAGCCAGCGCAGGCAGGGTCAGGTGCCCACCACTCGTTCTTTAATCCATCAGTGAAGCTTGAAAGTGCCGAGTCCAGGCTGTGGGTGAGCAGGATCAGAGCTGTGCCATAACCATAACCCTGCAGAAAGAATGGCTTGGCATACAAACATGTGAAGAAGGGTAGGAGAAAAATAGCCTCATCTCACCAGAGAGCGTCCCTGTGAGCCTTTATGGCCTGCTCTTCTGGCAGAAGAGTTTTGACTGAAGCAGGTTATAGTTTCTCCAAGCCAAAACACTTCGCAGTGATTTACCTTTCCGGCTGGCTTTGGAAACAGGATTTGGATAGAAACATTAATGGGTTTTCTGCTGCGGCATCACTAGAGCCTGTGTCCGTCCCAGCCACCACCTCCCGGGCTGGCTGTGGACAGGGGCTCCTGGGGCATCCATGCTTCCTCCTCCCCCACGAGCAGCCCCCTGCATCCCCACCACATCACTTGGAAGCCCAAAAAGCTCCTGTTCAAACCCATAAGAAGTTCCTCCAGCTCTTTGCAGGACTCGGACAGCCGCCTCCCTCTGGGAGGAAAACCCAGCTGAAATGCCTTGAGTTCTTGGTAAATAATTTGGAATATTTTGGGCTTGGTTCCTTGTTAGCCACTTAGTTTTTCTGAATGCAAATTAAATTCTGCTTAGAAATGCTGGAGTTTCCCTGTGTTGGTGCCGCTGGTGCTGCCATTGCCACCCTCCTCTCCGGGCTGCGGGTGCCCTGAAGTAGCCCCCGTGCTGATACCTGGCAGGGACGCGTGTGTATGTGTACATATTTCTCGTAAACCAGCAGCCCTTTATCGGGGGAATATCTGAGGAGACGCTGGCAGGAAAGGCAGCACACACTGACTCAGGGCTGCGTATCTCGGAGGGTGTTACGTGATCTCTGTCAACACCAGGGCAGCTTGCTCCTTAAAGATTTCCTCTGCTCGTGCTTTACCGCTGTGTGTAGGAGGGTGGTTTTTTTTTTTTACCTTTTTCCCCCCAAGACATTCATGCACTTCATAATTCTGTTTTTCTTTTGAAGCTTTGGATGTTTTTCCAAGCCCAGACACAGCTGCCTCCCAGCTGGGGTTGTTTTCCGTGGCATCTGCGTCCAGAGAGCTCTCCGGGTGGCAGGCGCCCACCGGCAAATCCCACGGGCGCGCACCGGGGTGCCAACTTGCCCGCCGCATCAGTGCCGAAACGGGATTCGCGTGACCGGGACACGGAGGGGTGGCAGGCCGCTGCCCATGGGTGCTGCCTGTGCCGGCGTGCTTGAGCCGGTCTCGTGAGGACATGAGGGTGTCTGCAGGGTCAGACAGCAAAGGGGTCTGTGCCCCCTGGCACTGCCGGGGAAGGAGGTCTCTCTTGGACCGTCTGTCGCTGCTTGCAAAGCACCGTGTAACCCATCCTGTTCTTCTCCCCCCAGGACCTGTTTGGAAAGTCAGACCCCTTCTTGGAGTTTTATAAACCAGGTGACGATGGGAAATGGATGCTGGTCCACAGAACAGAGGTGAGCGTGACTCTAACCCAAGCTGCTGAGACACCACCATCCTTACATCAGCTCCTCTTGCTCTTTATGGCATCGTCTCATCAACCACCCATAAAGCGGGGTGGGATCCAGGGATTTCAAAACCTCACGGCTGCCTTCACTGTGTCCAGCTGAGGCTGCTGGACTCCAGCAGATGAAGATTTACTGAGGCCAGTAAGGTCTTGAGATCTTTTCTGTACTGCTCACTACTGTATCTACCAAGCAGAGAGGGAGATGGTCTTTTAACCTGTGTTAACCTCCTGGCTCAGCCTGGGCGTGGGCTGTGCCCTGGACCACTCGCCCTCCACATGCAGGAGCAGCAGGATGAGCTGCGACCTGGGGAGATGGTGGAGAGAGGTGGTGGGAGGTGGCCCAGGGAACGGTAGTGGGGAAAGGTTAAAATGAGCATTTGCCAGGTCCTCAGCTAACCTGGGAGGATGCTCAGGCATCTCCAGCTTCAGTGCACGAGCACTCAGGCTCATGTCTAACAGAGCTGGAGCCCTGGCTGGGGAGGCAGAGACCTGTTCCAGGGTCCCGGTGGGTATGGTCATAGGCAGCTGCCTCCTCCCTGCCCCTCATTTATACCTGCTGCGATATTTTGATCTGAGCTCACTTCTGGTTATGTTCTCAAGCTGCTAAAGCCAGTGATATTATGGATAAGAGGCACAGCATGGGCAGGGAGAAGCAGGTTGGCTTCTGCTTTAGTACCAGGCTAATAAGTACTTTTCAATAGCTTTTTTTTCCCCCTCCCCAAAGCTTGTTTCAAGGCTTTTTTTTTTTTGCGCGTAGCTCCGGGCGGCGGCCAGGAGGCACAGCATGGGCAGGGAGAAGCAGGTTGGCTTCTGCTTTAGTACCAGGCTAATAAGTACTTTTCACAACAGCTTTTTTCCCCCTCCCCAAAGCTTGTTTCAAGGCTTTTTTTTTTTTGCGCGTAGCTCCTGGCAGCTGCCAGAGAGAGGAGGGGGCGATTGCTGCAGGATGGGCTTACAGCAGCCCGCGTGTCAGAGGAAGAGGGTCCCATCACACCCCATCTCACCCCCCTCTTTTTCCTCTCCCCATCTCACATCCCTCCTTTTCTTGTCCCTCCAAGGCTTGGTTAAGGAGCCCATTGTTCCACCGCAGGAAAATTGCTGTAACAGAACACGGTGTGAACTCATGCGGAAGGAGAGGGTGGTATTTATTTACAAGGTCTCTCCGTACGCTGGGTTTTCCCACTGCTGTGCAAAGTCCACGAGGATTTCCTTCACTCGCACACCCACGTGCACACGAGCACCGGGACGTGTGTACCACCGTGTGTCCTGTGGTACCGATACAGGCCATCCTTTTAACCCTAGCTCTGCTGTTTATTTTTCGGTGCTTTCCCGCACACGTTTCCATGCATATTTAATTCATACCAACCTTAATATTTCTCTTGTATTTCTGCGGGAGCAGGCTGGGACCTTGTTTGGTTGTTTCCTCCTGGTTTAGTGTGGATAACTGGGCTTTGACTCACCAAGACGTATTTCTCAGACGTGGGGATTTTGAGCGACCTCCAGCCCTTCCTCCTGGAAGAGGCATGGAAATTGGGAACGTGGCTGTGCACCAGCCGTTGCTGGGATCTCTATAAGCAGGTCAGGTTTATGGGGAACAGATGTATATACTGATTTTTCCTCTGGGTTGCTGCCCAGTTCCCCCACTGTCCTGTCTTGCTGGATAAGGGTCTAGCCAGGTTTTCCTTCAAGTAATGGGTGCTCCAAGAGCCTCCTCCTTACCAGCCCCGAATGTATCCCGCTGCCCTCGGAGGAATCCCATACCAGGTGACCATCTTTGTGTTTTGAGGCCGGATACGAAGGAATAAGGTTCCCCATTCTTGCAGCTTTTGGTGCAGGAATATAACCATTCCTTGTGCCACCACAGAGGTGTCTGGCAGGGAAGGATTAGTGCTCTTTACAGCCTGTTATTTAAGCGCAAGTGTGAATGCCCAGCTGGGCGCCGTGCGATGGAGACGCCGGATCCTTCCCCACCCACCCTGGGGACCCGGCAGCTGGCAGCGTGCGGGCACCATCTCGGGGTGCGTGGGCTCCCCCTGCTCTTCCCAGCCTCCCGGAGGAGGTGTTTACAAATTCTCGACTAAACTGTGCTCACAGTGTCAGGGTTTCCCCCGATCTTGTGCAAGAGCCTGCCTGTAAAACAAGATGCCTGTTCCAGGTCCCGCGCGGCTGTTTGCCTGCAGCAGCAGCCATGGACCTCTTCCTCGCTGGGCTGTGCTGTTGCTGCTCCGGCTGCAGAGGTCCAAGGTCCTCCACGCCAGATATCCCCGTATTTACCCTGCACAGAGAAGGGTTAGTCTGCTGCCCGTGTCTGACTTCCCTAATATTCACGTGCATCTCTCTTTTTGAGCACAACACCTTTGTGAAAGAGGGTCTTCACCCGCCCTGCAGCCATCTCTGATGTACGCAGCATGTGCCTGCAGCCTTCTAGTGTCTGCTTAGGTTTCCACCAAGCAATTGCATTCTCTCAGGAAATGTCAAAAAGCATCAATTACTATTCCTCCAGCTCGGGAAGCGGATGTTAGGCAGATGAGGCGAGGGAGCTGCACGTACCCAGGGCTGTTGGGCTTTTCCAGCTGGTTGCGGCATCCCACTGCTCCGTCTTCTCGGTGATCAGACCCCAGATGGAAGTAGGCTGCGCTGGGGTGCTGGAGTGGGAGTAGGCAATTATGCAGAGGGCATAAATAGTAGCTGCTGACCTTGAACTGGTGGGGTAAGTGGCTGTGCCCATGCTCTGGGCATGGTTGTGCCCATGCTGCCCAGTCTGCTGCGGCTGTTTTCTCAAGCAGGTTTGTTTAATTGCCTCCGAAGGTGGCAAATGAATCTGTTGTAATTCATGCGTGCTACAGCCTGAGAAGCAGCAGCTGCGGAGCTGCTGTGTCTAAGCTACGGAGGCAGAACAGGGCTGAGATGGGGCTTTCTGCAGCTTGCCTGCCCTGCCCCACCGAGAACCTGGTCCAGGGTCGCTCTTGGAGACATGTCCCTGCTTTGTGCCAATCTCCCTCTTCAGACATGCCCGTTGTAACGGCATCCCTCCGTTCCCACCCTGCAGGTGATCAAGTACACACTGGACCCCGTCTGGAAGCCGTTCACTGTGCCTCTGGTGTCACTGTGCGATGGAGATGTAGAGAAGCTGATAAAGGTAACAGGGGACCCTTTGGCTGATATCGTGGTGGTCAGCCTCTGGGATCGATCGTTAAACATCTAAAACCCTATGGCTTTTTTATCAAAAAAACCCAAACAAACTAAACCGGAACCACCCCCAAAACCAAAAGAAACCCCTTGTTTGGGGTCTCCAACAGGAGAGGCTGGGAACTTCAGCAGGTCTCCTCACAGGAGATAGTTACTGCGTCTGAGGCTGGTTTGTGCTCCTTCTGCCCTAGGTGATGTGTTACGACTACGACAGTGATGGGGGACACGACTTCATTGGGGAGTTTCAGACCTCGGTGGCCAGGATGTGCGAAGCCCAAGATGCCTTTCCGGTAAGTGCCAACACGCTTTCGGGGAAGAACGAGGAAGGGGCTCCTCAAGGCTGGCGGTAGATTTTGGTACTTGCACTGAGACCCTCAACCTGTGCCGAGAAGAAGCCAAGTCCAACCTCCTTTCTCCTCCCACCCACACCGCAAGTGGCCCAGGCCACTGTTGTAGCTAAAGCATCTGAGCTAGAGAGAGGGCTAAGGCAGTCTTGGCTGAAAATCGAGCTCTGCTGAGATGTTTGAAGCAGCACCTGTGATTTGGAGGGGTGCCCTGTGATTTGGGGGTCAGATGGGGAGGTGTGACATGCTGCTGGGGCCGTGTCTACAGCAGGAGCAGCCTGGTCCCCAGGAGTGCCAGCTCCCGTGCAACTCCACACCGGTTTTGTGGCCAAAGGTGTCCCCGGCTTGCCCCCGAAGTGCTGGCCAAAAGCCTTGGCAGATGCCACCTGATTGAAGGCATGTCGTGAAGATTCCTGGATAAGCAGCGCTTTTCACTGCTGTTATCGCTAGGATTACAAAACCAAGAGGAGGTCTTGGCCAGGACATGGGGGTGTGTAAAACACCATGCGTGGTGCAATGAGAAAAGTTTCCTGCCTGGGGAAACCGAGGCACAAAGGCATGAAGTGTCCTGTCCAGGACTGCACAAGCTGATGGTGCCAGAGGCAAGTGTTGAGCCTGTTTTCCCACTGGATTTGCAACCTACCAGCCAAGCAATAAAATCTTCTTTTCTCTCCGTGGGACCCTGAGAGATGCTGGTGAGAAGAGAGTAAAACTCGTCTTGCTGCGTGCCTGTGTTGCCGTGCCTCCATGCAGAACACGGGTCCAGCTGGGGACAGGGTCTCTCTGCCTCTTTCCCTTGCCTGGCTTGTCGCGAAAGATTGGGCACCCTCCCTTCCCCGGTAAAGCTGTTCCCCAGCTGACGCCACTCTCCAAGCGGAGCTGCCATGGGCTCCGGGCAGAGGAAGGTGGCTCCAAAGGCAAGCGGCCGCTGCTCGCCATCGCTGTGCATGGCACAGCATCCCTTTTCCCTGGGGTGGTGGCTCCTTGTGACCTGTGTCATCCTTTCGTGTGGCCACGCTGAGAGGTAAATACAGAAGCGGGGACAGAGATGCTTGTGCTGTAGACCAGGCACCACATGCTGGAGTGCTTGCAGGTTGGGAGCAGCACTGTCCAGCCACAGCCTGGCCGAGATGGAGGGAAAGGCTCATTGCCATCTCCAGAGCCATCATCGGGCTGGTCTGAGCAGGTCCGGGGCCATCACTGGATGGTCTGAACATGTCCAGGGCCATCACTGAGCTGGTCTGAGCGGTCCAGGGCCACCACCAGATGGTCTGAGCATGTCCGGGGCCATCACCGGGCTGGTCTGAGCACGTCCAGGGCCACCAGCAGGAGCACTGCCCAGGCCTCCAAGCATGTCCAGGGCCACCACCAGATGTTCTGAGCATGTCTGGGGCCATCACCGGGCTGGTCTGAGCACGTCCAGGGCCACCACCAGATGTTCTGAGCATGTCTGGGGCCATCACCGGGCTGGTCTGAGCATGTCCGGGGCCATCACCGGGCTGGTCTGAGCACGTCCAGGGCCACCACCAGATGGTCTGAGCCAGGATGTTGTGGGAGGGGGTGCAGACTGGCCACCACTATCCCACGTTGGGGCCCGTGTGGACCCATGTGGGAGTTACCTGCTAGCAGGTCTGGGCTGGACTGTCTGCCTGGGTTTATTCAGATTTAGGGGATTTTGTCAATAGATCTGTATTTTGATTTTGTTCAGTCAGGGAAATGCAATGTTCACGCTGAGGAAACTTAAGGATATTAGTATTTAAAATTTTCCCATTTTTCTGCAGCTGGAAGAACGGACACGACTTTCTCTCCATACACCCCCTGCCCAGTCCTGCCCTCTCCCCGAGACCAACCCGCATGTAAACTTTCTTCTTTGACAAGAGTTTTTATTCAGTTTTAGATTTTAAAAAAATCTGAAATATTGCAGCAATTTTCTGAATATTCAAGAGGCATTTTGTTTTCCCAGAGCTTTTGAGGAAAGGTGGTGGCCTGTCTCATCCCGTTCGCCCCCGTCCCATCCCGTAGACCCCCATAGCCTCGCTGGGGTGTCTCAGCTGCCACGTGCCAGGTCCTGGGCACAGTGAAAGCCCCTGGAAAGGAAAAACAGCCCCTTCCCAAGCAGGTCCTGTGCCTCCATTTCCATCGTTAAATACTAGTAGCTCGCTGTGATTCATTTATGTCTCTTCAACGCTTTGAAATGCATGGAGGGAGGGTACCCGCAGGATGCGGCCGCTGGTGGCATCTGCAGCCACCCGGCACAGGCCAGCACCGCTCTCACACAGGTGTCTGTCTCATGTGTTACAGCTTGAGCTAGAGTGCATTAACCCCAAAAAGCAGAAGAAGAAAAAGAATTACAAGAACTCTGGGATCATCATTGTCAAGTCCTGCAAAGTGAGTATGACACCGGGATGTTTCCTTCCACTCCTGGCCGAGCTTGGGTCTCCCTGAGCTCCCCTCATCCCTTCTGCCTCCAGCACCCTTGTGTTTCCAAGCGCAGGTCCTGCTGAGCATGGATAAAAGTGTGATTTCCTTTCTGCTTGGGTTTCTCTCCACTTGGAGCATCTGATGTACCAAGTTGCTGGTGCCACCCCGCGCCCGGGTGGCCACAGACCCAGGAGGAGGTGTTCAATATGGGCAGCGTCTGCATGAAGCTCAAGCTGTGGGTGCTTACCAACTGCTTGGTGTCTCCTTGGGGGCAAGGGTTGGGTGCAGATGGGAGAGGTCCTTCTTCTGAGCTGAGGTGGTGGTGAGGTCCTCCCTTCGTATGGCAGCAGCACAGCGGGGAAGGCGCCAACACAGCTCTTCCCGCACCAGATCTGCAGATGGTGTGAGACCATTTTAGCCATGGGGAGAGGATCTTCCATTCAGTTCACCATGATGGACACTTCCAGCTCTCAGGGATCCCCGTCCAGGCCTCCCATCGCAGCTTTGGACCAGCCCGTGGCCCTGCTTGGCCACGTGACTCATGAAGTGCCAAAACGCTGCTGTGGGAGACCCAGGTCATCCTTCCCATCTTCTTTGCCACGTGGCTGAAGGTCCCCGAAGGCCCAAACTCGCAGTGACCGCAGGCTTGGGCACTTTCCATGTATTCATGTTTTTTTGTTCTGCAATGGTGAAGACTGCTGAAACACTTTCTTTTTGTTTTTCTTTCAGATAACCAGAGATTTCTCCTTCCTGGACTACATCCTGGGAGGCTGCCAGCTGATGTTTACCGTAAGGACTTTTGCTCCTCTTTGCCCAGTAATAGTAACACGTATGTAACGGTCAAAACTGGGGAGGGAAGTTCTGCGTGAGATTTGGCACTAGCTTGGGTGGCTTTTCATGGCGATGAGGAGCTGCCCCGTTTTGCTGTTAAACTGTGTGGTTTTGGGGGGGTCGTTACTGTGGTGCTCAGGTGTGTCCAATAGCATGGAGGGAGCTGGCTAGACTTTGGCTGAAGGTCATTTCATGGCAATGAGGAGCTGCCCTGTTTTGCTGTTAAACTGTGTGGTTTTGGGTTTTGGGGGGGTCGTTACTGTGATGCTCAGGTGTGTCCAACAGCATGGAGGGAGCTGGCTAGACTTTGGCTGAAGGTCAGACTCGCACAAAGACCTTCTCACCCTTCACTAAATGTTGCCGACTTCTCTCCCCATCACAGGGTTTAACCACCCTCCAGTTTTTTATGGAAACCCTCCTTATTTTGAAGCCAGCTGAGAGGCTTTGGGCTGTTAATGAGATGGTTTTCTGCATTTTTACTGGCATTTCCACCTTCTTTCAAGCTGGACCACAGCTTGTCAGGAGTAACTAACCGAGGACGTTACAACCCCGAGTGAAACCACCACAATGCAGAAGTGGGGTTTTCAATTTCTGCAAACTTCTCTGGTACAGCATCCGGAGAGCTGCGGGCACTTGCGGTATTTCAGTTTGTATTTTGTTGTTCCGTCTGAAAACATGATGGGGGGAGAGTAGGAGGAGGAGGAAGAGTTGCCATAGGAACAGGAGCAATTGGGAGAGCTTTTTGTGTGCCGTTCTGCCGCTGTGTGCTAAGGTCTTGGTACTGGAGAGTGAACAGAAGAGAAAATCATTAAGTTTATTGGTAGCACAGAGCTCTTGTGTGAATTAGGCTTGAATGCAGAAATCCCCCCCCCATCTAAAGATCTGCCGGTTATTGGAGGGTTTCTCCCCCTCTCGAGACATCTTTGGTCCAAAAACCTGGGTGGGTTTGTGATGGGTGCAACACTGCAGAAATGCCTGAGCTGGGAGGAGGACGCTGCCGCACGCACCCCTGCAGTTTGGAAAGGCCGCTGGTGTCCTCCCCGCCGAGGGAGATGGTGGGGAGAGAAGGGCTGAAGCCACAGAGAAGAGGGGCATTGTGCCCAGCCGCTTGCCTCATGCTGGAGGCAGACCAGCTGCGTCCCTCTGAAATTTGTTGCCCGAGTGCTGCTCTTGGTGCCATTGCTTGCACGAGTGGGGCACGTGCCTGTCTGACTCCCCTGAGCCCCCTCCCCGTGCCTCAGTTTCCCTCTTGCTCTCTGACCGTGCCCATGGTGGCTCGGCAGGAGCTGGGTGCAGACATGGGTGTTACAGCAGTAAACCGCAGGTTGGTAAGGCTGTAAGGTTGCTTGGCAAAGAAGTTGGGTTTTCATAGAACCATAGGATGGTTTGGGTTGGAAGGGACCTTTAAAGATCATCAATCCAACTCCCCCCTGCCATGAGCAGGGACACCTTCCACTAGACCAGGTTGCTCAAAGCCCCGTCCAACCTCACCTTGAACACTTCCAGGGACGGGGCATCCACAACTTCTCTGGGCAACCTCTTCCATTGTCTCACCACCCTCATCATACAACATTTCTCCCTTATCTCCAACCTAAACCTACCCTCTGCCAGTTTAAAACCATGTCCCCTTGTCCTGTCAAGCCTGGCACAGGGTGGTGGCACATCCTGGGCTGTGACGTCTTCTTGCCCCAGCCAGGCCAAGGTCCTTTCTTAGCCAAATCGCAGTTCATCCTCTCCCGTTACAGATACGGAGCAAAATCCCTCGCGAATCCCCTGAGCTCAATTTAGCTGGCGGAGTTATTTTGGGTTTTGCCTATTTGCTAAGCAAACAAGGCGAGCGCAGTCACGCCGCCTGCTCGCCTCTTCCCAACTCTTCCTTCCCAGTCATTTCAAATCAGGCGGCTCAGCATCTCGCCTCTTCCGACCAGATTTAAGTGGGTCTGAGATAGGCATTTCCACAAATGTCTTTAAATAGAAAGCCTAATTGAGGAGGGAGAAAAATGAGCGCCTTGCTGACAAAGGCCCCTGAGAGCTCAGCATATATTGGTCCCCCGGGGAAGCCCAGTGAAGAGTGGCTGCAGGGAAAGCTCTGCTCAGGGTTGCAACTCTTTGGCCAAAGATCTTGAGACCCAAATGCCCAGGTGGCCCTGGCTGCTTTGGTGTCCATGGGGCTACTCAGTTCCTGAGCTTAATGCCTGGGAGATGGGCAGCGAGAGTCCTGATCTGGAGATGGTGGTGGCTTGCTCCAGCAGCAGAGGCTGCTTCGGGACATTTTATGTGATGCTCGCTGGTGAGAAATGTAGGTGTAATAGTGAATGGCTTTGCCTAATCTGGTATTTAATCAGCTTTTTTTAGGGAAGGTGAAGAGCTGGATTTTGTTAAACTTTTTCAAAAGTTTGAGGTTTGGGTCTTGACGGGACTGTGTGTGGACCTCAAAGGCAATGGAGGCTCGGTGGCCAGGTCTGTGGTGGCGTCTGCTAACGGAAGACGGCTCTGTGCTTCTCTCTTGCCCCCCAGGTTGGGATTGACTTCACAGCCTCCAACGGGAACCCGCGAGACCCCTCCTCTTTGCACTATATCAACCCCATGGGGACAAACGAGTACTTGTCGGCTATCTGGGCCGTCGGCCAGATCATCCAGGACTATGACTCGTAAGCACCGTGCCCTTCTGCCTCCACCCCTGTTTTGCAGACATCTCCGTGGCTTCCCGACGGGCTGCTGGGATGCGTGTGCCTTGATTTCCCGTCTGCAAAGCCAGGGCTAAATAATACCTTGCTTTTGAAAAGCTCCTTGGGAGAAAATTGCCATATGCGTTGGGATGCAGGAGGAGGAGAGGGTAAGGACAGGGTTTCTCCTCTCTCCCCGTTGCCGCTGTTGAGAGGAAGGGTGCATTAGCAGAGGTGGAGCATCCTTTACTGGGGACAGCTGGAGAGCAGCCGCTCGGTGCTTTCTCGGCGCAGAGGCAGATGCCCTCAGCTTGCTCGTATTTGCCGTTGGCAGCTGTACTGCCAGGCTGCCTTGTTCCCCAGCCGCCCTGAGATGTGCAACACAGGAAAATATCATCTTAGACATCAATAGAGAAAACAAAAGAGAAATCTGTTGGTCTCGCCAGGCTGGCTTTTGTGACCAAAATGGATAGTTAATTTTTTTTAAATCTCCGGGGTTACATGTCTGCAAGAGACTCAGGTGTTTGGGCAAGAGGATGCTCCTAATCCCTGTGGGTGACGAAGCAAAGCTGGACTCTTTTCTCTCTAAAGATCAAAAGCCAAAGGGAACATCTACTCTGTCTCAGTTCAGTTCTCCTGATTTTTAAAGGCACTGTGTTGTTTTGGGAGAAGGGAAGGCTGGCACATTTTTAGCTGGTGCTTTCGCTGTAGTTGGGTGTTGGGCAGCTGGTAGCACAGGGGGACCGTAGCAAGAGCCGTGCAAGCCTGCTTCGTGTGTGTGTAAATACACCTGTATGTTTTTCTTCCTCTCTTAGAGACAAGATGTTTCCTGCTCTGGGATTCGGCGCCCAGCTCCCGCCGGACTGGAAGGTGAAGTGTTGTGGTCATCTGCGCGTTTGAGATGGGTTTGTCCTGATATTGCCTAGGCAGGAGCGGAGCTGACGGGGCTTCCCGGCTGGCTCGGTCTGGGAAAAGCTGTCGGGCAGAGGGGGAATGGGCGGACACGGGATTTCAGCTGGTGGAGAGTGAGATGTGGCAGTGTGGGTGGGCGGCGAGGTGGGGATGGGGCACATGCAGCCGGTTCCTCCCTTCTAAGCTGGCATGAAAGCAGCAGCTCCCTGGCATTAACGGGCAGAGCCAGGCGTTGATTCATTTTCCTGGCGGGAGGCAGGAACAATTCTGGGCAAGGGAAAGGGCCCCTGGATGAGTGTGTCAGACAGTGGCGATGTCTGGAAGGGGGCTGGGAGCTGGGTAGCCTCGACGTGATGTTGCGTAGGCAGAGCCTGCAAGGACTGGAGCAGAGGGGCTTTCCCAAAAGCCATCTTGATCTTTTGTTGGGATTTGGCACTGAAGGGGTTAAAGGCACCCTGGTCCTGCAAGGGCTGAGCTGGAGCATCCTGCTCGTCAGGAGGGATGCCGTGGGCAGGGGTTGGGGCTGCTCCTGCAGCCTGTGCCGGCCGGTGGGGAGCATCTTCTCATGGCTGAGAAGATGCGCCGGGACACCACCACCTTTCGTTCCTGGCTGGGTCTTTTGGCTGCTCTTTGCTCACGCCCTTAATGTGCATTTTCTTTCTGCTCGCTGGTTTTGAGAAGTCCCCAGCTTTGGCCTGGGGTTGAACCTCAGCGAGCCTTTTGTGTTCTCTGGGAGGGGAGCTTTGCTCTGGGCCGAGCGCAGCAGGGCACGTAAGTCATGAGCGGCCATGAATCGGGCCGGGAAGCTCATCGCTGCCAGCCCTCAAGGCTGGGGATGTCCTGCCTGCTCCGGCTTTGCGCTTTTCTCCGCTCTCCTGGCAGCCAAAATTCATGTGACTCAAGTGGGAGCTCTCGCTGTTTGCCAGCCACAGGAGGAGATCCCTCCGTGTGCACTTTGGAGCTGATTCATCCTCCTTGGCCAGCAAAAGTCTTTGGTCTGTCACTTCACCACTTTCGGTGGGAAAATCTTGGTAGGCAGCTTCCAAGGACTAACAGCCAGCTGCCGTCAGGGATTTATTACTTGGGGAGGGGAATAGGAATGGAAAACACTGGAAAGGGTACGGCGGCTCGGGCTGCTGGGGGAACGGGTGAATCGTCCTGGCGAGCATCCTGCTCTGCTGCCGATGCGTGTGGGTCAGTGCCCGTGGGAAAGGCATCGCTGGGCTGGAAACAGCCCTTCCTGCAAGGCTGGAGGGGGAACCAGGTCGAGGATGCTGGCTGGGGGCTGGGGGGGCAGAGGGATGCTACTCCTCTGCTCCCGCTGCGGCTGCCTCCTGCAGCCTGCCGCAGAAATATTTCCAGCTGCTCCCACGGGCCTGAGGATGCTCTGTAAGCGCTACTGGAAAAAACACCTCGTTTTCCCCCAGAATGATGTCTAAGCCCACGTAAAGCCCAGCAGAGAGCAGTTCTCCCTCCCCAGGTGCTTGGCCCGTGCCTAAAGGTCACCCACCCTAACGCCCAGAGTGACCCATCGGTTGTTTCTCGTTAGCAGTGGGGGTGTCCCCCGTGCACCACCCCACACGGCTCCAGCCCGGGGCTTCACGCCTCCCTGGCTCGCCTGGCCCGCAGGGTCTGTGCGTCACTGGCTTGGCTCACCCGTTAAAGGGTTTTTTGGCCATCAGGGCTCGTTGGGTAATTTCAAAGCCAAAGCAGCGGTTCTTCATTGAAACCAGTGCCCTGTGTTACAGCGGGCAGGCAGCGGGGAGCAGCGTGGCCAGTGATACTCCCGGGGGACACGGTGAAGGGCGGCTGTTGTACCCCCAGGCCGGAGTGAAAATGGGGAAGATCGCTAAGAGATAAGAGCCGTATAAATGGCGCTTTGTGCTCCTGTTGCCATGGCTCCCCCAACGCTTCCCAGGCGCCAGTCGGAGCGAGATGTTTTGCACACAAAAGTCTCGTTGGAAATGTCAAAGAACATCTTGTGGTGTAACAGCTCTGTGCAGAGCCTCAAGCAGTTTCCCAGTAGGGAACAGGAGAGGGAAGCAGATGGGTTGCAGTTTCTGGGGGATGAGCAAAGGCAGGGCGGCAGTGGAGACAGTGATGCTTAACATCGGAGCCCCACCGGTCGCCCCGGGTTTGGGAGATAGAATCATAGAATGGTTTGGGTTGGAAGGGACCTTCAAAGGCCGTCTAGTCCAACCCTCCTGCAATGAGCAGGGACATCTTCCACTAGAGCAGGTTGCTCAGAGCCTCGTCCAACCCAAACCCAAACCTTGACTGTTTCCAGGGATGGGGCATCTACAACCTCTCTGGGCAACCTGTGCCAGTGTTTCACCACCCTTTTTACACCCACAGCATAAAAAAATTCTTCCTTATATCTAGTCTGATGGGGTCGGCCAAAGGAAATGTCTTTGCGCCCACAGAGCTCAGCCGAAGCTGGTGGCTTTGCCGATGTGCCACCCCCCCAAGGCTTTCCCTCCGTTTGCCTTTTTTTTTTTCATATATAGGGAAACTGAGTCGCGGCAGGGGTGGGGTCGCTGGGGGAGGTGGCAGAGAACCCTCTGCGGGGTGAGTTCTCCGGCATGGGCTCCAGCCGTGCATCTGCGAGGCACATCTGTAATTCCTAATGGGAAAAGATGGAGCTGCGGCCATCCCCATCCAGGACTGGAAGAAGGCACGGCCTGGCTGCAGATGAACGTCTTACCCTTTGGGGTGGTTTGCAAGAGTTTCTCTCTGTAGGTTACTGGTGAATGCGATACCTGTAGGTGCTCCATATACATTTAATTGGACTTCACAGAAACTGTTTTTCAAAGTACGAGCTGTATAGGGAATGAGATCCTTTTTTTTTTTTTGTTATTTTGAAGCCCTCTTGTTGAATTTTCTAGCAGAGATATATATATAATCTGTAAAAACTCCCGAGGAGGTTTTGAAACACTTCTGCCACGCAGGGGGTCCGCTCTCTAGACGGTGAGGAACACAGCTCCAAACCATTCCGTTGCTGCTTAAAAGAAAGAGAAACCCCTCTTTTGCAGTGCAAAACACGGAAATATTTTTACTTGCCTTGTCTATAAATACTCATATGGCAGAATTTTGAATGTCTTCTAAGAAAAACAGTGAGCCCTTTACAACTGAAAATCAAGAAATTTGAATTTGGATATATTGCCCAAAATTGAGGCTTCTACGAGAAAGGGTGTATGCAAAACCAAGTCATGTGTTTCAGGCTATGTAACCCTGGGGTTACTGGTGGCTGGGAGCGTTACTGGTTGTGCTCGACAGGTATGGAGAGACCCAAGCAGGCTGTTGACGTTCGCCGGTCCGACAGCTCGTCAGCTTTGCAGCGCGGGGAGGACTTTTGGTTGACCTACTTTTGTTTGGTTGCTATTTCCCCCCCCACAGCCTCTTGCAAAAATAGTTTCTGCTGCTTTCGACACAATGCTCAGTATAATTGGAAAGTCTGAATCAGATGCGTGTTGCTTTTGCAGTCTCAGGAGGACTTCTGCTTCACAGGGTGCTTTGGAGGACAGTCATTTTGCCAGTGTTATGAATACACATGTCCTGAAGCGATCCCCTGGCTGAGAAGCTCAGCAAACCACCACCCTTCTGAGAGGGAGAAAAATATCCTTGTTTTGTAACTCTGGCATGAACAGAGTGGGAGCTTTTGTTTCAGAGCCCTTGAGCTGCTGGCCTGAAAGCCCAAAACACCCCCTTCCGCCTTCAGAGGTGCTGGAAGAGGCAGTCACGCGTCCTTGGTGCTCCTGAGAGTCTGTTTGCTTCTTAAGGTGCCTAAATTGCAGGTAGCAGAGAATGCCTAAGCCCCCAGATCTGATGGTTGTTCCCCAAGCAAAGCTGTTGGCCCACGCCGGCACTGTCGAGGTTCCTACTGGAGGCCAGGAGTCCTGACCCTCTCTTGCACCCGGGCCGTTGAGCTGCCCTGCCTTTGCGGGCAGGGATAGGTTCAAAGCAATGGTTGCCCAACGTTTTGTGGTTTCTGTCTGCAGGGTCTTCCCGTGGAAGTAGATGAGGAAGGTTTCGTGATTCGCAGTCAGCACTGCTGTTTGGTGTCTCTGGCTGGGCAAGTGCAACAAGCCAGGGACAGGGGTGTGCAGGGCTATCTGCTGCTGCCACTGTCCCACAGGACCTCCTCGTGAGAGCATCTCCCTCAGCTTGAAAGGAGGTGGTGGAAAACCTGAAGGATCTTGCACCTGCCTTGGAGGAGGGGTGGTTTCATGGTCAGTGAAAACCAACCCAGATTGTGCTGGGACTTGCTGTCCGTCACGCCCAAGCATTCACATCACCTCTCCTGTGCTGCCTTCCACCCTCATGATGGCCCAGATGACGAAGCTCATCATCTGTTGGCTTTGCCACGGTAGCTGACATGCCAGATCAGGTCTCCAGCACAGCTCGCTCTGTGCCTGCCTCCCTTCTGCTGCACCGCGCCACTTGCAGAGAGATGGGGAACCGGGATGCTGCCAGAACTGGGGCTCCCTGTGATGTTAATTGAGTTTCCTCCCTTTATAACCTGCAATAGGATGAAGGAATTTCTCCCAGTGACCGGTGAGATGGCCCGGCCGGCTGAGAGCAGCCCTTCTGCCTGCTTTCCCTCTGGGCAGCCGGTGGGAAGCCGTGTGGACAAACCTGCTTTGATCGCTGTAGGAGAATCTGTGATGTGATAATTTCAGGTGGCTCCATGATGGGGGGACTGAGGAACCAGTCCATCCTCAAATGCTGCTCAACCCTGACCGCGTTTGTATTTGCTGCTCCTTGCTGTTTGGGTAGCAGAGGGCTGGGCAGTGTTACTGACCCATCAGGATGGACCGTAACGTCTGCGACCACCGGGTCCTGCCCCAGGGGAGCATCAGACCCAAACCAGCCTTGCAGCATCAGCTAAACTGATAGTGAGCAACCTGCTCTGCACTGGCCCTCCGTGTTAATTTGGGTCTTTTCTCCTCCGCAGGTATCCCATGAGTTCGCCATTAACTTCAATCCCACGAACCCGTTCTGTTCAGGTAAGCATCTACCCGGTCTTTAAGACTCCTTAGATGCCTTCAGTGTCTTCTGCCCTTCCCTCTGCGTTTCTCCAATAACGTCTCGGGGATTTTTCAAGGTCTCTTCAGAGACAGACATTAACGGTGAAGCAGAGCACGTGCTAAGGGTGTACTCAGAGGAAAGCAGAGAAAATTTGGGGGTGTGTAGGAAGGCCCAGGGTAAAATGCAACTGGATTCAGACAGCATAAAATCCGCCTTCGCTCTGATGTCTGGTGTGTCCTACCAGCCGTCTGCTCCTCCAGCAAGCCTGCAAGAAACACTAGGCCTGTTTAGCAGACGAGGAATTCAGACAATGCTTCATTTAGCAGCTGAGGGCTGGTCACAGTCATGGCTGAAGAACTGCTCAAATCTAAGTGGTAAGGGCTACCGCGGACTCCAAAAGTCGCCCGGTTTGACCTCTGCCTCACCCCAGCAACACGGGGGCTCGGGCAGCCTCCAAACCTCGCTCGCTGGATGATGAAGGCTGGCTGTGAACATCTGCTTTTCTGCTGCCTTTGCTCCGTTCAGTCCCGCTCCGGTAGCTGTAAAGCATTCCTTGGACCTGATCTACTGCAGGTGTTACGGGGTGCAGGAGCCACTGTCTCGCAGCTCTTACCAGTGACAGGTCCTTCCCAAAGAACTGACTATCAGCTGGTCATTTGTGGAATTGGTCATTTTTGAATTACACACCCATGCGTCCTGTCGGGAGAGCAGCCATTTACCCTGTTCTGGTGTGGCAGAAGCAGAAGGGTCTCCAATGACCTGCAGGTCCCAAACACAGTTTGGGAGCTCAGAGGGTGCTTCTGGGATTGTTTTGCTTCTCTCCACTGCCTCTGCTCCATGTCTGTCTGGTTTTTGGTTATGCTCAGAGGCCAGGAGTTGCTTTTCTTTTTGCTCCTCCTCTTTGGCCGATTCTGAGATTTTTGCAGAAACCCAAGGAAAGCCGCCTTTGACTGTGGGCACCACGAGAGCTCTCTTACCTCAGAAGGTCTGAGGACCCACTACAAAGTGACTAAAGAGCAAAGCCCTGGTATTAGAAAATTTGAGTTGAGGTGGATGAAACTTGTGGAGCTGGATGAGTTTGGGGGGGGGGGGGGAAAAGGGGTAAATT